AAATTACAAAATTGCTATTTTTGAAATTTGGCCACGTGGCGCAGAAATAGGAGGTCTTTAGACCGAGCCAACCATATCTGAAAGTAATGGATCTTTCCTAAAAGCAGTGATGGATGCTGAATCACCTGATTTATCTATGCTCATACTTCTTCGAGATGGCTCTTGCATTTGTGGTGACTTTTCTACACTTTCGATATCCGCACCACAGTTTTTAACAGGACATTTGGTTATAGTTTCTCTAATGTTCTCAAGGCAAAGACAATGAAAAATATGTCCACAAGCTAATACAGTGAATGATTTTCTAAGTTGGTACAAAAAAACTTCTTCATTACATTCTGGACACAGATCTAGTTCAGGAGTTTCAACGCTGTCTGCAATACATCCAGGGGAAGCATTTTTAAGAATATTTAATGCAAGAGTTCTGAGGCATGAAATCTCCATATTTACGAATTTTTTACAAGTTTGGTATAAGTCTTCATGGTATACTCACGGGAAATGCTTTGTTTTTATAATGTTAGTATTTTCCATGGATCACTGTTAAATATGCAAAACACTACAATCAATAAATCAGTAATTTTGGAGCAATATTTGTCATGAATGGGATCAATTTATTCTCTATGGGCGATCTGTTACCTTTGCCAATCATAATATTTCTCTGATATGTAGGTCCTCATTCGATGTTAAAAAATAAGCTTAATCGTTTTTATACAACAACAATAGATACCTCTTATTTATTCATAAAACAGAGAAGATCTAATGATCACATAATATTACACGACATTAGATCAGGTCCAGGCCAATCTGATCCAAGAACCAAGAATTCAACGGGATTAATTGATGTTTCCATAGGAGGCTTTTCTTCGACTGCGCGATTTACAAACAACATTTTGGTTATATTATTATACACTGTATCTATGACCGGGAAAAAAATCAAATCGGAATTAATTACTTAGTCTCTACTACGAAGCACCATTATCTGTAACCCACGAATTGTGAAAATGAGGAAGAATAGGCATACCGACTCGTCTAAGATAATTATTAAATTCAGTAATAAAAGAATCCGGAGGATTTAAATCATCATGTTGGATCGATCCTCTTATAAGTGGGGGAGTTCATCTTCTGAATCAGAATTAGAAGAGTCGGTCTCAGAATCAGGCCAATCACAATATTCTTCATTGAAATTATCGATATGAATATTTGGGTTAAGTTGTTTTATAGTTTTTTTATTGATATTTTCAACACCCTCCAAATCAAGGTATTTTAAATCAGGACATGAACCGGTGATTTCTCTGATAGTTGTGTTAGAGATTTTACAATAAGCAAGTGCGAGATGCTGAAGTTTAGGACAAGAGCAAATAACATTGCAAATTGATGAATTAGTAATGAAATCATTCCCATCAAGTTCAAGATATTCCAATTTATGACATGTAGCTATTGTATCAATAAGATCATTGCCTATATCATTACCACTTATATCGAAATGTTTTAAATTCGGAGAAGATCTAATGATAGCTGAAATATATGCGTTTTTTTGAAAAGCCATGACACCACTAAAATCAAGATATTCCATGCTGAGTGATCTTCGTGTTAACAAACTAGTATCTTCAATTTTACCGTGACTAAATGCAATATCAAGACATCGTAATTTTGGACATTGGTTTATGATGCAACTTATTGATTTATCAGTAATCCAATGTGCTCCACTAAAGTAAAATTCTTCCAAATTCTGACACGATTCTGCAATTTTTATTAAGGATTCATCAGTTATAGATTTACAGTAAGAAATGTTTAGATATTCCAATTTATAACATAATTGTGCAATTGTAGAAAGTCCTTTATCGGTTATTATTTTGTTTTTCCATAAATTAAGATATTTCAAATTCGGATATGATTCAGCTATTATAATTAGTGCTTTATTGCTGAAACCTTCACTACTTTTGAAATCTAGATGGATTATATTTGGACATGAATCCATGATACCTTTGATTATTTTATTTGAAATTGAATGATAATACGTACTCGCTACTCTAGTTTATATATTTAAATATATGAATTTTATACCCACAATCCAGGACTGCTCCTTAAATAACAGAAAACTGACAAATTTAATAGCCCATATATTTGTAAGTAAACATAGTTTTTTACTTTTGATTTACATAGGTTGATATAAAATTTTTTTTATGTAACATAATAAATGCATGACTTTCTATGGGGGCGAAAAATCGATTACTATTATTATTACTATGAAATTTAAAAAATTTGCCTGGATCGGCATTAATTAAATCCTTTCCTTAACTGGTGGATCACGAATTAAGTTTCTCAACATAGGATTTTGTGGCTGAAGGAACAAGACTCGACAGGTAACAGAGCAACTCCACTGAAAGCACTGTAAGATACCAGAGGAAGACATTTCTGTTAGTTGGAACAAATGATGCTAAAAGAAAGACTTCAAATTATTGACCATAATTACATCACCGTGCATTTTGTTATCGATCGATAGTGTGGTGCAACAGAAAAATTTTGCTTGCATAACATAGATGTTCAATCTGTATGAAATTCTGCCAAAAAATCAAAATTCGATTTATTACTTTATACATTTTGAGAGGAATTCTTGGCATAAAATACATCTGCATTATTCATTCATTATTCATTCTTTAGAGGGAGGCGTGAAAGGAAAACGTTTAAAATGTCAGTATATCGAAGTTATATACATTAATGATAATTATATCTCCCTCTTCCATGTTATTATTATGCATATACTCATTCCGGTTTTGATATTGCAAATACTGTTTTGGATTCATAATAAATTCGCCTTGAGTTTTACGTCTATTATTCTTAGATTTGCGAGACATATCTTATGTATAGTGATCAATTTTTTTCTTGTCAAAAGTGATCAGAGAAAGATTTTTCCGAGCATTCTGAGAGATGAGGTTAGTATTTTCACTTTGTAACTGCTTAGTTACATCAGCAACTTCCGAAGCTTGAGCACGCAACTTCTAATCTCATTATTATTTTGTATTGATTCACGATTCCGCCGTTTTTTCTCCTGACCAAAGTCTTTTGTTTGCATAGAGTATTTAACTTGCAATTTCTCACTAAGATCATTAATCTCAGCTTTGGATTTGAGAGAGTAAGGTAATTTTTTTTCGAGTTCCTGTTCACGCATACTACCAAGTCGATGACCTTTGATATCGGGTAATGTATGTACATTGGCCATAATTTTTCTAATCAACTATGTATAGTAAAAAATTGTGATTATTTAAACATTAAAGTTTTCAATCAATATTAGAAATGTACCAATAAATGACGTGTATGCCATCTAAATCGCATGAGTTTTAATTCCGCCTTCGCATATATATTCGAAGCTAGAGTATGTATATAGAAGACTATTTTTTCTCCCAAAATTTGTGTTTGAAGGAGGTGATCAATTTAACATGAATAAAAAACCAGTATCATTTTGATCCGCCTACCTATAACCAATATCGGATGGAGTGCAAATAAGTTTTTGATTGGTTTCTTTTTTTCTCTAATATATTCTCACTATGAGTAAAAACCAATTATATCAACCAACTTGTGTTCGTAAATTCCTCAGACCGGATGCTACTCCTTTAACACCTGAAGATATTGAAGAGATCAGGAATGCACCCGGAAATATCTCAAACGCGGGCCATATTATGTGTAAAAAATTTCATATAGGTATGACCTGGTATAAGGATATAATTAATAATTAAATATCTCTTGAACCAACTGAGGAATGGCGCAATATTGTTGAATCAGTCAAGAAACTAAATGAATCGAGGCCTGCTTCGCAAGGTTCATCTACACAGCAATCTTGTCAGAAAATCCCAAACGAATTAATGGAGGTACTTTACATCAAGAATTTAATATTGTTCTGGTAAAAAAGAGAAAATCCAAATCTATGAATCAAAGACTTGAATTGTCATTGCCGTTAATTCTGATATGAAAGCACCCTCACTTTATGGGACGGAAAAAATAAGCGGAGATGCCTTATACAAAAAAGAAGCTAAGAGAGATGAAAAGAATAAAGCAAATGTGGTTCGTTTATTAAGCACTACTTAGACTTCAGAGGAGGGATTAAGTAGTTTCTCATAGTATATTTGCATCTTTTCACAGAATTTATTAATTTCCACTTTAGACTTGATAGTGTTATATAATTTTATTTCTAAATCTTCACACCCCTCGCAATTCACGCATTTTTTTTTTACTGGAACTAGCTCCGCTAACTCTGTATCTGTCTCTTCGGAAATAGATAAAATTGCATTGACACAGTGAACCTCAAGCTTATTTTCGACTTTATGCATAGTGACTGGAATGTAAAAATCTCTTCCATTACAATTGATTCTCAGTTGATCCTTATCTCCTAGTATTGATATTTGTGACGGTAAAGGAAGAGATGCTCAATATAACCATAGACTTTGAGTGATTAACAACTAAAAAATCTATATAGAATATACAGCCAGGAGCCAACATTAGGGGTACATTATAAAACTATTCCAACGGACTCGATTGGGACCGTAGCAATCCCACCAAGTTTGTGTTTTACATTTTTGTTTATTTTTAATCCCAAGCAATCAGCAATATCTTTGGTAATAATGAGAGTATTAGAACCAGGATCGATTGTAATGGCAGAAAGCACTAAACGATTGATTTTGCCTCTCACAGTTGAAACATCTATTTTGCCCTTATCCCGAACAAAACCAACTTCCATATTTTCAATTATTTCTTCACCTTCGGTCTCGCCTTGTGGGGGGATTAGAATTCTGGATGATTCTGCATATAATCCCCTCCAATAAAGCAGGATTTCAAACTCGCTTTGGGTTATCTCACGAATTCGTCATTCTAGTAAAGTCGAAGTGAGATTTTGCAATCCTTGAAGAGGGATTCGATTCCCCTTATCCTCTGTAGAATATATATCTTTCTTTTCTTTGGATTGTTTCAAAATTTGCTTTTGCGAGGATGTCATATTGAGTGCTTGCTTAGGTCGCTCTATTTTTTTTTATTCTGTCTACATCAACATTGGAATCTCCGTTGGATATATTATCCTCTTCTTGATCGGAAATAACAGATTCATCGGGAAGTTCTTCTGTATCAGAGTGGCTTTGTTGAAATCCATCGGCAAAATTCACACGACCTGTTTTTTTTCTTAGAATTAGCAACCATATTCCTAATTACAGGACAACTGCGATAAGCATGACCCAGCTTTTTACAAATTTCGCATTTACTTTGGGTTGGTCTAGCAGTAATCTTAGATGAATTGGTTGCATTTATTGTTGGCTCTGGTGTATTAGATCTGATTGACTTTATTGATAATTGCGTAATCGATTTCCATTGGTTCGAATACTCTATTATCCTCAGTCTCAAGGCCCATTTCTGCATAATTTTTTAAATCCTCGTAATATTTAGCTTTCTCGGTCTTGGGGCGGAAATTGCGTTGAAATGGTTGAAGCTCCGGCTATTGGAACATAGGTTGTTGAACGATTTGTTGAGGCGGTTGGAATACTGGCTCTTGAATGTTTTTCTGAGATGTTGAAATATATGTTGTTGTTTTTCTCGGAATAAGTGAAAGAGGGAAAAAGAAAGTTGGTGAGCATTTTATACATGTAATAATTTTATACTTTTTGGTTATTTTATTAATAAACCCAAATCCCGATTAGTATGAAACTCTGATTTTATTTTTCTTGCTAAAGGATTCATAATACTTTCTGATATGTAAAAGAAGTTTGATAATCCTTGCATAATCCATCGGATAATCGAATGTGTACATGTTTAATGAGGCTGTGTAATAGTATTATTAAAAAATTCATCATATTAAATTAAAAATTCGTAAAGCATTAATATTTTAAAGCTTTGATTTAGTAAATTATGTTTATTTTATATTAATTTTATTTTTTATTTTTTTTGCTGTCATAATGTTATGAATACCTTACGTTAGTAAAACCCATTGGTTTGACAGAATATTAAATAGTAAAATCGTTCTTTTATCAGAGAATAAGTTTAACTGGTTATGCAAGAAAAAAGGCCCAAAAAACAAAATTGGCAGATATGAAAGAAAAAACACACGAAATTTTCCTTGACGGAAATTTGTGTAATCTTCAAGCAATTACTAATACTATGATCGCAGATCGATTATAAATTTCATCCAAATCAATCAATAAAAATGACAGAAAAGTTTGAAGCGTGGAAATGGTTATGGACTCAATATCAGTATCGTCGGTCCTCTAAGCCAACAACTGGATTCGCGTTAAATAAAGATCTCATTAGTACTTGCGGTATCACTTTTGAATATTGTCTAAATGATACATCAACACTTTTATTAAAAAAGTTGTTTGAAGCAAGTATAACTGCAACTGCTCAAAAAAATACTAATCGTGATAGTCACCCCATTGGTTTAGTAACAGGTGCTCCAGGGATTGGCAAGACACGATTTTTGTTGGAATGTGTTAATCATATAAAGAAAAACTTTCCAAATTTTTTCAAAGACTTTGTTGATCTTGTCATAATATCTTACAGTAATGCAAATATTCCTAATAATTTAGATTTGGAATTGGGAGAAAACAAATCCTTAAGCTTACGATTTTTACATTCAGTATTTGTGGATCCAATAAGAGCATATGTAGACTTTGTTATGGATCTTAAAGAAGCAGGATTCCAATATGATGATATTACTCTCAGAGAAGCAATAACAATTGCACGCAAAGGGTTAAATATTCAACCAACAAGTAATTGGCTCTTGGTAATATCGATTGATGAATTCAATAAAATTATAACCAACTTTGAAAATGATAGAGGTCATAAGTTCCTATCAAAAATCAGCCAAATTCTTGGAAGCGTCATGTGTAATCCACCTGAATATACAACTGTGTTGGGCTTGATGGCAGGGACTATGGCTACGACAATAAATACTGTCTTCCGTGAGTCCTCTCATCTTACAATGTCAATGCGTCTATCTCCATTAAGTGAAAATGAACGTGCTAAAATTCTTATGATGTTGGGTTTCCCAGAAAAATGGAAAACGTGCCGAGAATTTCGTCTTTCTTTAGCAGATGTTGGAGGTCTTCCGCGGATTTTTGAAGCATTTGTTATGGAATGCCAGCCCTACATCAGAAATAATATAGCAATTTCAGGATGGCCATTTAAGGAACGAATTATACCTGCTGTAAAAAATTATGCACATACACGTTATCTAGATGGTGCTCGTCCATTTGCTGTTAAGCTCATTGAAGATATCATCCTCCAAACACCTGTATATCGTGAAAATGCTATTGATACAACTGGTAATATTCCTACTACTTATGGTGAGCTTGAATCCCAAGCTGATGTATTACTTATAGAACAAGATGATAAATCGTGTATTGTTACAATGCCTTTCCTTCTTCTTGAATGGCTTTTAACTAGTGCATCATGTCTTCAAAATCCCGCAACAGCTTTACTTAAAAAATTGTTTGTTTATGGCATAGATAAGAAAATCACATGGCAAGAGTTTGAAGTATTTGTTGCAATCTTTGAAACTTCTAAAACAATGCTCATGTATCAACATGAAAAGAGATCATCAAATCATAGTTGTATAACTATTAATTTGTCTGATTATTTCAAAGTTGAGCATGATTTTCCTGATATAATTTTACCTCAAAATATTACATTTTGTAAATCTATGGAACGTTTTCCAAGGAATAAAAATATAACTGATTCATGTACTGGAAGATCCATAAATTGGGAATGTGAAACAAGCCCGACAATTATTAATGGCAATTCGGCAGAATTTGCAGATATATTTACAGTTAGAATGATGGCAGATGATTTGAGTGATTGTGAGGAAAGAGATGACAGTAAAGCATATTTCACCAGCAAATTTATTCCCTACCTATGTGGCAGTTTCAATAAGTATTTTTTAATATGTGGACAATGTAATTTATATTCATCAAATACTAATATTTCAAAAAAAGACATAGAGGACGAGATACAAAAAATTCATAATGCAATAACAACATATCTCCCAAAATATAATAATCGCTGGTTGCTTGTAATATACACTACTCGAATTATGGAAAATCCAGTAGATGATCCAAGATGTATTGTTATTGATAGCGTTAAAATGGAAGAACATTTCAGTAAGACTTTAGTTGAGAGAGCGATACATTTGCTTGAACATAGGAAAGTAAACATCAACTATTTTGATGTAATTGAATTAAAACAAGCACGTGGTGTTGGCACTAAATATGCATCTATGATTGTTGAAGAACGAAAACGAGGAGGTTCATTTGAAAATTGGGAGAATTTAAAGAGGCGTATCAATTGCATCCCTGATGCTTTATATGATAAATTTGAATACTAGAAATAATTATTACTTTTTATTAAATGTTAACAAATATAATTATATAAAATAAATTTGAATTATAAATTAGCATCATTTCAAACATTGTATATTGAAGTGAGATTTTCTTTTTATCATTTTCTATGCCAGTTTCCTTAACTGGCCACATCTAGCTAGGGTTTCCACTTCTTAGGCGTTGACCTAATAAAAATAAAGAAAATAAAATTAAAAGAAAATACACACACAACTATATTTATCAAAGGCGTTCCCCTGGTAAGTTAACAATTAATTAATTAATTGAGTTAATTAGAGCAAATGGGTTGGTTTTGGAAGCGGGTGGATTATTCCACTGGCAAGAGGTTATTTTTGCAAGATATTTATGTTCAGGAGCAATCTTGCATTAGTAAAAATAGGTTGAGATACTTGTTTGTGACCTTTTTGCTTTTTATCGGTGTGAATTTGACACGTTTTTATTAAACAAAGAAATGTTTAAGAAAGGATGCAAAAGGTAAATTGTAATTTTTTATCATAAGTCTTTTATATAAAATAAACTTTTCATAGCAAAATAAACTTTTTTTCGTCACGGGCGTTAGTCTTCGTGAGATAAACCAGTTATTTCACGGATTCCCGTGAAATAACTATTACATATTTGGTATTTGTATGAAATGATGAGTTGGTGAGATGATTTAAATAATCATCGTTATCATCATTGTCACAAAAGCCTTTAAAATTGAATGATCAATAATTCCGGCACATTTTTAAATAATATCTCATCTTTATCCCAAAAATTAGCAAGTGATTGTGTATTTGCTTTATATGCTGCATTTTCTAAAGATTCACTTAAACCATCTCTTTCTGCAACAATATACATATATCTTTTTTTGATATATTCACATTCATGTGCTAAATGGACTTTGCAGTTTATTAACAACTCTATTACTCCATTTACAATTACATGCTTGCATTTGGCTCCAAAATGTCCTGAATGTTTTGAAGAATAGCATTCCAAACTGCATTTTTTGATCGTCCACCAAGTTTTTTGGAATTTGATGAACTATTTATATCTACATCAGTATTGTTTGACATTATTGTGATTAAAAAAAATTTATATATATTCTTAAGAAAGAGAAAAAATTAAATTAAAACAAATAGGAAATTTTTAATTGATTGTCAGGACAATAATATCAAAATAAAATGAACTTTTGATAAAAATGTTGGTCGCTTGAAGAGAAAAATGATTTCGATAATCATGGCTACACGTCATATGGTCATAAAATCAGTTTAGGAGTTTCGGGTTAGTTTCGAAAGTAGTTTAAGGTTTCTAAACTAGAAAAGAGGCTAGAGTTTAATTCCTTATATATTGTATTTTTTCAAGATGAGAAATAAAATTATAAAATAATGTATTTTATTATTATTATAAATTACCTTTTATGTACTGTAATATATTTAAGATTGACAACAAAGATAACAGTATTTTATGTTTGAATAAAGTTATAATTTTGAATATTCAGGTTATGATAGCACATGTGTTATAAGTGAAATTAAACTCGAATTCAAATGTAAATTCTAAACCTCCAATTTTGACCAGTTCTATTTAAGTAACATTTTTACCTGTGGTGTATCAGGAAGTTTGCACACAAAAGGCATCTGTGTAGGTGGTGTGAATTGACCACTTCGATATTTAAAATCCTTTCAAAATGTTCCTGCCATTTGCAAAGAGTGAAATTTGTGAACAAAAATGTATCATTATAAGCTCAAAGAAAATGTGTCATATACCTCCAAAGCAACAAAATGGCTGATTGCGAATTCTGCTAATGGAATCGCAGTCTTGTCAACTACCAGTTTGATTCTGAGGAATGAACAGGAGCGGTATAACCCATCATATTTTAGATCCGTAAAGAATGATTCCATTGAATTACCTGATTATTGTAGAAACATAATTCATAAGAAATAATAATAACAATTGTAATTTATCAAAAGCATATACATACTGATGTTTAAAAATATGGCACTTTCACCCGGACCTCCCTTTCTTTCCAATTGTTGATTAATTGATTTTTGGGCTTTTAACTGAGCTTTCCACCCAGAGTTGGCAAATTAACTGGTCCATTGAGAACAGATGATTTTGGACTGGTCCATTGCCATTAATAAAATACTAAATGGACCCAATGGACAACCAATAGACCATCAATGGACTGCACATTTACCAACCCTGTTTCAACCTATCCTTCTTTTCTTGTAATGGTGTGAAACCCAATGGCTTAAATTCTGAATTTAAGATTGCCACACCATGAAAGGTCAGGTCTTGTTTTTAATCCTGCGGTGGCACAATTTAATCTAAGTTCATATTCTTTTTCTGATCTATGAAATGAACGAGTATTTGGATAAATGAACATGTCACAATGTTCCTCCTCAGATAACTTTAATGGGGAAACTTCCATGAAAACGTCACCGCCAATCAAATGTCTACTAGCAGTATCATGAAAGATGATGAAATCTCTAGCATAAGTGGTGGTTTATTTATATTATAGGGATTGGTTATCATTATCACTTTCCATTCTTGATTATAGTGATTTTAGCCGGCTAATAATCTGCATACATGATTTCTAAATTTGGTAATAGATTTCCGTATTACCTTCTGGTTATAGAAATAGAATTACCAATTTAGGTAGTAAACGGCTTAGATTAATGAACATTGAATATGGACATGGCCAACAGAATACTATAATGGATGATAAAGCTCTGGATACAATAAGGAAAAAAGAATGTTTTGATATATCTCAATATGGTCAAATGTTATATTATTTATGATAGGTACAACTGCTGAGATAATAAAATATTAATGATAAATCATCAAATGATTAACATCAGATATTTTATAAAAAATTATTAAATCACGCATTACTAAAATAGTAATGATGACCCTTCACATAATGAAATATCATGTGAGACAGACTTATCGTGATTCATTTAATTATACTTGGGTCAAGTGATTGACCAACTTAATATTAACACTTATCGCGACTTTATATAGATCGACCGACTATCGAATTTTTCTAAATAGTAAAAAAGAGAGGTGAAACTTTTTGGCCGAGTTAGGCCAAAACCGACTTATCGAGTTTACATATGTACATAAGGCTAAATTATTTTCTCGCCGTGTTTACAGTTTACAGAGGCAGTTTCAAAAGTTGCGATCAGAATCCTTAAACCACAAAAGTCAGGTCTTTTACAAATCTATATTTTTAAAGCCCTTATGTGTTTGCTTTGATAATATTGTAACTTCAAAATCATCCAGTTGGAGAAGAATTGCGACAGGAACAGGGATGAATTTTTCTAGGCGATGGTATGTATATTGAAGACTCCAATAGTTGATAGATAGGAGAACAACACATAATCATTAATCATCAAATTTTCATGTATTCTTTTCGGAAATTAAAAGCTAGCGACCCTAGTAAAATAATCACATTAATATAATAAATAATATAATCCCAGGATACCAGACTTTTTAGAAGTTGCTGGCACAATTCAGGCAGGAGCCTTTATTTGAAGAAAATTCTGGTTTTATAAACGACCCAAAAAGGTTCAGTATGACTTAAGTTATTTTATTTGGATCACGACTCTGAGCAAAGGATGGGATACTTGTCGTAACATGAATTTTTATACAAACAGTTGTGTGAGGTTGGGCTGTTCCTGCTTCAAGCACATGCGTGGTACTGCATCTTTTTATTAGAATTATTGTATTGTTCATTTCATTCAAATAGAAACAAACCTTGGTGTTTTTATCATGGACCTCCATTTTGCCGTGCCCCGGAGTTACTTTACCTTCCCATTCCTTATACTCTACCCGTATATGGAAATAATTATTCTGAACTTGTTCACAACTTTTAGAAAAATTCAATTTGGTTTTTCTGAAACAGTAAGAAAAGTGCGCAGTATTGGCTGAATTTATAAATCAGCAACGTCAAAATCCAATCATTATCCAACACGTATATGATTTACCTGATTTTTTAAGCCACAAAAATTTTTTTACTACTATATTAATAGAACAATTATAATAATTGCGAATAAATGATCAATTAAGTAATAAAGAAAGATATAAATAAATTTTATTATAGTAATTTACCACCCAGAGATTACGTGTAGGAATTGGCATTGCTAAAGATACTTGGCGTAAATGATTGGACATTTGACCAATTAGGCGCTGGTAGCTACCATTTTCCGCAAATACCGTCGTAAATAAAGAGAATGATTTTAATCAGATGAGGCTTGATAAATCAAAGCGGGTTTAATATTATTTGATAATAAAAAAGTTTCAAGTTATACGCCATTATATTATTTGTTTGATTTAAATGCAAATAAAATGATTTTATTTCTTTATTTATTATTGCTAATAATGTCAATCAATGTTGTTGTTATATACAAAATATCAATTATTTAAAATAAAAATAATTAAACAAAAAAAGAAACTTTTTTTTTCAATTTTGTTTTTCCTTCTCGCCTTTCTTTAGTTTATTTAATATCTCGTGAAAAATTGTTTGAATTGTTAATTTCTTTTTTTTTTAAAAATGTTGTATATACTCTTTACAAAAGTAAATAGTGTCACAAAATAACAGTGATAGTGCCCAAACCTTGTTATTATTATTATTATTATTATTATTATTATTATTATTATTATTATTATTATCATTATCATCACTACTGTTATATTTTCCAGGTTTATATTTGTCGTCTAGCGTCACCCTTCATTGATCCTGATTTCATAACTTGTAGCTATAAAGGTGATTGCTGTTGTTTGTAAAGTAGTGTGGTTCTGGTAGCTGAGGTAATCGTGACGATAATTTCTTTAATTAATCATCACCAATCTAAAAACTATTATTATTATTATTATTATTATTATTACTATCATCATATCATCCTTTATTTTTTTATTGTTGTTAATGTGTTTGAAATTCCAAATATTCCATCCATTCTAGTAATCTTTTTATGAAGAAATTGCTTAATATGTTAATTACATCATAATAATAGTAGTATTAGTAATAAAATAATAATAATAATAATAATAAAATAAAATAATTATGTATTATAATAAAAATCAATTATTTGAATAATTATTTAATTAAATAAGTTTGCATGGGTGGGTAGGTGAATATAAAAGTGAGTAAATTGTGTATGTAAAATAAAATTGGGGTTTTTTTATTTGAAAATAAAAATAAAATAAAAAGATTATATAAACAATTAAATAATAATAAAAGTATAATATAATAATGATAATATTTAATATTATGAAAGAAAAATAAATGCTATATATATATATATATAAATAAAATAAAATGAAATAAAATATAAATTGAAGTGATGCTAATTCTCTCAATGATGAAATAAAATCTCTTCATTTTCACTCTATATTAATATCCCCACACAAATTTGTGATATTATTATAATACATTAAAAAAAAAATAAAAAATAAATTAATTAAATTAATTATTAAATTAAATAACAATAATGATCTCGCTACAAGTAAAATTTATAGACGCTAAAGATATTATATTTTTACTCGGGATTTTCTTTTTTTGTGTGTCAGAGAATAAATAAAGATAATCTGTATATATATTAAAATATTATGAAGAAAAAGGATTAATAGCATTACTATTACTATTGCTATTACTATTACTATTACTATTATTAATATCATTACCACTATTACTATTGCGATTTTCTGAGTATTTAGGTCTTTTACTTGGTAAAGTTCTACTTCTTACAAGACCAGTACTTTCAGATGGTTGAATTTCACTAGATGGTGATGGTAAAGTAGTGTCTAGTGCGAATGGTTCATGTGATAGACTTTGTCTTCTTAAAGATATTCGTTTTACCGGTGGGTTATTTAAATCAAATGGTTCTTTTAAATTTTGCTGTGAATTATCTCCTATTACGTTGTTAGGTTGAAAAGCTTTTGGTTTTAAACTCTGCAATTTATCATTACTATTATTATCGTTGTAGTTGTTGTTGTTGTTGTTGTTACTATCATTGGTAGAAGAAGAGGCATTATTATTACCAGCAGTGGTAATGTTACTCGTTGGCAAAAAGTAATTTTGATGCTCAATTAAAAATCCCAATACTTCTTGTGATAATTTATATTGTTCGGGCGACATATTGTGTGATGGATGTGATAAAACACCAGGTTGAAAAATTGATGCCAAATTACTCGATGGCATTAAATTTTCTGATGATTTTGATGAGAAAACTGCTAGTAAATCAAGGATATAGAGTAATAAATGTTGATTTTCTTTTGGAAGGTTTGCAATTAATTTTTGATAATTAATAACTCTAGTAGTTGGATCTGAATGTGTTACTAGATATATATATATATATGTATATATATATATGAGTCATTATAAAGTAAATTGATAATGTTTTTTTGATAAATCGTTAAAAATTAATTAAGGAACTTACAGTGCACAGATCTGAAGGCATCGTACCATTGAAGTGGAATGACAGGATCTGGTAATTGATTTAGATATCTACGGAAAATATTTGCAGCATCATGTACAGAATAACCCGTCCAATCCAACGTTTTTCCGTAAGATGGTGGAGTATCAAATTTTATTTGTAATTCTTTTATTCTTTTTGCTGATCCGCTCAACCTAAATATACCTTCTGTTGTAGTGGCTATTGTTATTATTGATATTGTTGTTGATGATGACGATAGGTCATTTAGTAAATTATATAGAAAGAAAATAATAGAAACATAGAAAAAACAAAATAAAAAGCCAAATAAATTGATAGAAAGAAACCTTGTGATTTTAAATACATTCCACATTTTGCAACAATAATTGGTATATAACCATAAACATATTGTTGGCCATCGGCAGCAGTCATACATATTGGAACACTTGCATAATGTATTCCTTCAGCTAAACTTACACCGAATACACCTTGATGATCTTATTTTAAATAATTATAAAGATTTATAGTTAAAATTTTGGGAAAAAAAGATGGATACATGAATACGGTTTTAATTTTAAACTTTTTTTTTTGATATAAAAACAATATATTCTTACCATTTTCTTTGCCCTCATCTTCTCTTTTTCCTTTTTTTGCAGTGAATTGTTTCCACCAAGATTTTAAGTTTTCTTTTGTTGGTGTAGACGGCAATTCTGAAGGATTTTGATGCGGCATTTTTTTTATTTTTTAAAAATTTGATATTTACTTAATATAGTTATACTTATATAATTAATATTTATATAAATATATACACCGGTATAACGTTTTTTTGTTGATATTTTTTGCTGATAATTTTAAAAGGTTGTAAAATGAGTAATTGTAAAAAAAAAATTAAAAATGTTTGTAATTATAGAAATATTAAATATGAAATATATCACATAAATATTATTTGGTACACAATATAAAGAGAGAAAAGGTGGCTTACCGTTTGTAACGACTTGTGACCTCAACTTGCAATTTTTTCACTGAAATGATCCAAATTAAGTTAATAAAAATTGTAATTGAAAATTTATTTATATTTATATTAATTGGTTTATTTATATTTTTAAAAGTTACATAATAAATTACTATTATTATTAATTAAAAAAGAAATTAATCTTTGTATTATTATATGTGTTATGTATTTCTACTATATATACTAACTTGCCATAACAATACATATAGCCTATATTATTTTAACTCTAATCGAATTCTAAATAAAGATTTCTTGATCGAACTTAATTTAACATCAATTGATTTTTTCTTCTTACAAGCATTAGTTATTTATCAATATTTACTTCTTTATTATATTTTCCTTCTTCTTTTCCTCCTTGTCCCCATCTTCAATTTTTCGATCTTCTCAATCACCCTCACCATATTCTTCTGATGATGATGGTAATAATAATAAACAATATAGCGATTGTATATTAAGAAAAAAATATTATTATTATTAATATTAATAATCAATAATCTTAATTAATATTATTACTATTTTTAGAAATAATTATAATAATGACATCCCAGACTATTGTTTTGCATCAAAAACTTGTTTCATTACAATTAAGAATTTTATACATTAATATTTTTTCTATATTATGTATCATTATTATCATGTTAAGATGTTAAGGGAAAAATAGCCTTTTTAGTGCTTTCACGACAACGCTACTAATAACTCAACATATATACGTAAAAGTGATGATTTAAAAAATTTGTCTAAAATATACATATATAAATTTAAAATAAAAGATTTAAATTTTCTTTGTATTATTATCTTCTTCATCTTTCAAAAAATCACTTTGCCAGTTATAATTTAAAAATCTAATGTTTTAATTAATATTAATATATCTTCGTAACATATTCTTTTGAAAATTTAGGATTGCTGGTTCGGTTCAGGTTCGGTTCCAAAGACCGATCTTTTTTTTTCAGAGACTGATATTTTGGGTGACAACTGTTAAAAGGCTGGAAATATCGATATCTTTTGATTTTATTATATTAATATTTATTAATATTTTGTTACATTGTATTTCAACGTGCGCGTTATTTACAAAATCGACAAGGTCGACGAAGTAAGCTTTGTAGACAACGTTGTTTACGTAAACCCTTGTAGGTTCAAAATTGACCAGCATTATGCGGGAGTGTTACCAGAATTACTAAATTTCGGCATAATGTTGGTCAATTTTGAAGATATATTTTCCTGATGCTAGACAGACTTGGACGAGAAAGTAGTCCTCTAATGGAACGTTATGCTCGAATTTCATGTACTTTGACAATAACTTTTCTCAAATAAAAAAAGTTTCGATTTGAGAAATAATCAAATCATATCCAAAACTATTTGCTATTAAAGTTGGCACCCATAAAATTACGGTATTACAGTGTTGCAACTCGTGTTGAAAGTCAGAATTTACGGTGTGCAACTAACCGCAATGTCGTAATATTTATTATAAATATTTATTATTATATAATTGTTGTGAATACAAAATTCTGATTGGCTAATTGAATTCCACGCGCGTGAATTTCAAATTCATAATGTTACATTCAAATAAAAAAGTAAATCATGATCCTTACTTTCCTAATTATATCTCTCATGAGTTTTATGCATTTTATATTTTTCTTATAATTAAAGATGAATTTTGCTACTGATAACAAAAACAAACTTGGGAATATTTTACACGTGGTAACCATCTTGGGATGGATGCCCGACCGTATCGAATGTTTTTAAAAGTGAGACAATATAAATAGAAAATTGGTTCCAGCTGCATTGTGATTATGTTGCAACATTATGTATAGTTTTTATGTAATACGTAAATTTGTGGTATGTTGCAACATTTGATTGCTTGTTTGCTATTAAATACTTTATTCAGTTTGATTCTTACAACCTGACAATTAAATTCGCACTCCCTAAAAATCAATCGGCGACATAATAAAAATAATCTTTGATGTTACATGAAGACCGGTTTTTGGAAATATTCTCCTTGCCAAAGTTACAGTACAAAAAAAGATAATGGATTGTTATTAAACTTACTGTTAAAATGATAACTTCAAATACATTTGGAAATATATTTTCCTTTCAAATAAAACAACCAAAATATTCAATTAAAAGAATCACCTACTTTAAGATATCATCCCCATTTCTTTTGAGGCGATAATTCATTTGAAGGGCGCATATTCTTTCAATCCTGATTTCTAAAGCATCATTACTGAACTTGAATCTTTTTACAAAATATCATCTTTCTCCACGACTTTTCTTTTCTTTATAACATTCAGAATAACTCTAAATATCTGGAAGTTGAGATCAATTATCAAATTGCCATCGTTAGAAATGTTTGGTAGTGGAAATAAACAAGACCCAGGTATTTAGTTTTATAGAGTTGGTCAAATGCTAGTATCAGAAGCAGTGTTTGATATTGTTGTTATTTCTAATAAAACTTACCATTTAAGCTTTTGAAATTTCGTGATTCCTCATCGTAGATTGTTCCCTTTAGACAACTGCTACTTACCATTAAAGTATACATAAATTATATTATGCGATGCTCACTCAACGAATTATTTTCTCGTAAAAATTTTCATTAGTATTAGACCACTAATTGCTAATACATGCAATAGTTATTGGCTACAAAATTTACTATTTAAACAAACTTGTCATTAATATAATGCCACAAATTTATTGTTATATATTTGAACCTAGTCGCATGTGCGTGTCTTTTAACCTTTGTGATGTTTACTATGCCGATTAAGGTGAAAACCTAAAGTAAATAGTGAACGGAATTTGTTGTTCGCAATAATTTGTTTCATCCTATTAAAGAAAAAAAAATAATTGATAGTTTTGGTGATAAATAGTAATAATGATAATGATAATGATTTTCGAACATTATATAAGGTCACCTTGTAATTCACAATAAAATATAGAAATAGTGGACTCAATTAAAGGTACAGTCAACCCCCAAATGCACACCCTCTCTAAATGCACACTCTCGCTAATTCCCAAGCTCGGGACTTAAGAGATAAGTGCACCCCTCTATACCTGCACTGCACGGTGCTTTTTTCATTCTCAATTATATATATAAAACCACCCTCCCAAAATGCATGCCCATGACATTCACGTGATATGTGCAATGAAAATCATGTTACTATTTTGTACAAACCATCTATCCTCAGAAAGTTCAAGTTTGTATTTTTATACAATACATTCATTTTTATTCTTTTTTTACAATACATTCATTGATCTTTGTTACAAGGAATACATTCTTTATTTGTATTCTTATTTGATCTTTTTTGTTTTCCTTTACAAGACATCTGCAACTGCTCATTCCGCCATACTTTATTTTATATCTTCTATTCAACAAATATTAAATTGTTTCTTTATAATACTCTTTAAAGATTTCAAATGGTAATTATAATTAATTAAATAAAATGATTTCTATTATTAACTAACAGTTATTATTTTCTTTGAAGTAAATGGTTATTTTATTTTCGGGAGTGTTAAATTTTTGTTTAAAAAAAATTCATATGCAAAATTAAATTTTCTTTAAAAAAAATTCATACACGAAATTAAATCAGATTCTTTTTCTAATAATAATACCTACTGTATCTAACCATTTAATTTTTTGCATTCACATTTTTCTCATTAAAATATTTTGTTCTTTTATTGCTTTTAAAATAAAATGCCTCTAAAAAATAAAGTAACTTTATCTGACTCTCAAAGACATGAATTTTGTTTAGTCGATTCTCTTGAAAAAATTTATTAATTTAAAAAAATAAATACAATAAAACAAATTACAATAGATAGATTCATGTCTTGAATTTTCTTTCTGATTTGTGTTACCTTGGTCACGTGTAACCAATAAAATGCTTTAATTCCCTAAATGCACGCTCTCACCCATTCCCAAAGAGGGCTGACTATATATTGATATTGATATTACTATTGCTATTATTATCTATCGTCACTGTTTATTTTTCAGAAGAAGTTGCAGCTCGCATTTATTTTTATAAATTGTAATTATTTCAAGTAATTGATAGGAGTCATGTGTAAAGTTATTTCTAGTATCTTGGGTTTAAGCACGACAGGGTTTTAAAGTTTATGATGCAAATCATCTAATGACATAAAAATGTAATTTCGATAAAAGAATCAAAATTTTGTTTTTTATACCTAAGAAACGATCTGACAGAATGTTTTTTAATAGAAAAAATGCTTGATTTAAAGTTGGCCAATTTTAAAAAATTTTACGTGAAAATAAAAATTGATTTTGATTCAGAACACTCTGGGATCCTGCACTAAAAAAATAATCAATTGACCTGTAATGCTTATAATAACAGTGCTATAAAAATAAAAAAAAAGGACGAAAATTTATGTACAAAGAATAAGTGCATGGAGAATTGGTTTTTGTGATTGACATCAATTTGATACATCATATCATTATCAATATTAAGATCCTCAAATGATTTTTCAATTGAGAGCCTTAACATTGAGATTCAACAAGGCTACAACACCAAACATCAAAAATTGCCAATTGAAAAATTAGTAATTCTTCTTTGTATTCTATATTAAATAAATAGAATTTTATTTCATCAAGAGTAGAACTAGCATTACCAAAAGGATGCATTATTCATCCTTCAACTAATGATTATTATGAAAGAGATGTTGAAAGCTCTTACAACCATTTCTTGGTTAGCAGTAACAAATACACTTGTAGTATTTT